CTGTATGTATGTATATATAACGCATGCATTTGCCTGTGAAACAATTGAAATAAATATAAAATATTTTATAATTACACATATAAATATAATAAATAACCAATTAAAAATAAATAAACAAACAAATACATACATATTAGTATATCCACATCCACACACACACACACACACATATATATATATATATATATATATATATATATATATATATATATATATATACATATGCATATGAAGTGTTGTACTCTGGTGGGGTTGTGTTGTGTATTGGGGTGTCTCCATACCAAGTGGATCGCAGAAGTCTGAGCGAACATCAGGGTCAGTAGTGAAGCACCATATGCTGTCTCCTTGTCCTGCAGCTCTGCAGTAGTTATGTGTCTCCTTTGTTAAAAAATTATGTTTGTGGGGTGTCTGTACACTCCATTGCTGGCACTTCTTTCCCAGCCTCGTTGTCGATTGACACCCAGAATAGTTCGCCCCAAACGTACCCTCGTTGCACCCTGAAACTCATACACATACACACAACAAAAGTGTCTCCAAACTGTCTCCAATGTGTCTCCGAAGTGTCTCCAATGTGTCTCCAATCTGTCTCCAATGTGTCTCCAATGTGTCTCCGAAGTGTCTCCAAAGTGTCTCCAATGTGTCTCCGAAGTGTCTCCAAAGTGTCTCCAAAGTGTCTCCAATGTGTCTCCGAAGTGTCTCCAAAGTGTCTCCAATGTGTCTCCAAAGTGTCTCCAATGTGTTTCCAAAGTGTCTCCAATGTGTCTCCGAAATTGTCTCTTCAACTATCACGCATGCATGCCCAATACATGCATGCATGCACACATATATACACGCATGCATGCATGCAAGCATACATATATGCATGCATGCATACATACAGGCATGCATGCATGCATGCACACATACATACATGCATGCATGCATGCAAGCATACATATATGCATGCATGCATGCATACATGCATGCATGCATGCATACATACATGCATGCATGCATGCAAGCATACATATATGCATGCATGCATATATACATGCATGCATGCA